GCCCCCAAGCCCAAGCCCAAGCCCAAGCCCAAGCCCAGCCCAGCCCAGCCCAGCCCAGCCCAGCCCGCTGCAAGGTGAAAAACATTCCGCTGTTAGGTGAATCTGCATTAGCTGAGACAGTTTTTGTAGTGTTCATGTCGCTTCCCGTAAAGACCTTACACCTCCACACCCTGAAGGGAGTGACCGGGTTGAACGTTGACGCTGCTGTGTCAATTCTGCATCATCAACGTAAAAGAAGGGATTGGCGTGAATCCGGCTTTCTAATGACTTTTAATGTATGGCGCAGTCTAAAAGCAGTGTACAGGTATGTGATGAGTTTTCGTGAGCTGAACCTCCTTTGCCTTTCCCATAAAGATCCTGCACGCCCTCAACCCGGTGAACCTCCATGAGGATGCCGCTTCCCATCAAGAGACTTTGCACAACTTACCCAGGTGAAGTGACTACGGTGAATCTTGAGGTGGGCCTCTGTCGCAACGTCGATTGGAGTCAGGCTTGTCGTGATCCGTGCCTGTCGGGCACGAGTGAGAGAATCCGGGATGGAGAATCGAAGAAAACTGGTTGCCAAATGTCCACCAAAATCTAGGAGGACGTGACCTAAAACTCCAAAACAGTGGGTGGTGGTGGCGCAGCCAAGTTGAGAATCCCGATGGGAGATGAAGAGTGGCAAGCCTGAAACCCTGGACGGAATGTCTGGCTGCCAACAGGCCCAAGCGTTGACAGGAGAAGATGTGGTGGACAGAGAGCTGCCAGGCCTAAACGGCTAAACCCTAATTCCAAAATATTGCCTGTGTTGGCCCAGCACACCACACTAGGATAAACTGCTTGAATCTCGATCCAGCTAGCCATTCATACAACATGCGGAAAAGCATTTTCAAACGAGACTTTCCGAATTCGTCTGCACTAGACATACGAGGGGCTGGAGGGGAGAAATGTGCCACGAAATCTTGAGGCTGGCTGTGTGGTGATGCGAAACTCAAGCGTCTGCGATTCCATGCTTCGTGGTTTCGCACGTTTGGTAACCGTAAGAACGGCAATCGCAAGAAGCTGGCGATTGTATGACGCGCGCTTCTGCCAGTCTCGTGTTTCTACATGCGAAGACCTTCAAACCCTGCATGCTTATGCAGCGAATCCGGAGGTTTCCAGCTGCAAGCAGGAACACACCACAGGCAGTATCTAAGGTACGTATACAAGAAGAATAGAAACATCAGATCAACACACACTTGTCGTAACTGCGGGAACTCCAAACGAGTCTGCAGCGACTGAGTGCGCCATGGACCATTCAACTTAGGAGATCTTCGGAGACGGGTGAGGGGAAGAAGCGCTACGGAGGGGCCCAGGGTTTCACTCTAAATGACTCGAACTTTCGGTCAATCCATGTCCCACCATGCATGCAGTTAGGTGAAGTATTGGAGCTCGTGAACACAGATTTGTGCGATGGAAGTCCTCAGATCGATCCACTGCAAGAAGAGTTGCCCAGCTTAAACTTGCCTGTGTGGGGGGAGTATTTTCTGCGACTTGCAGTGGCATGAGGGTAGACACGGAGTTTGTGCCTCCCTCGGACCTGGACCTTTTTCTGCGAGCCGCTCGTGGGGACCCAAGCTCGGAGTCTTACCAACCAAAATGTATGCGCTCACGGTAAGCTTTTTTTGGTTTGGCTGCACCAGGGTATTACACCCAGTGCTCGGCGCTCCCTGGCGAGACAGTTCTGGAGTGAGCCATGAGCCAGAAGACATCAGAAGACCACGGTTGGGCAGTCTTCGCATGCATTCGAAAGCCGAGGCTGCTCTTGAGCACCGTGTCTGTATCGTCAAAGTGAAGACACCGCATGGCGGGATGCGATCTCGAACAGTCTCAACCTCGAGCACCAAGGCTACGTCCCAGTCTATTTGAAGAGCGCCTGGAGCAGAGATCATGATGCAACGAGCGTGGTCCCGAGTCCGCCGAATGCCTCAGAGCAGGACTTGATGGCATGCCGGTGATTGAGGTGCCCTAGAGGAAGAATGGCATCAGAAGCGGCTCATTTGCGACAAGACTTTGAAGGTGTGTGGTTATGTCTGGTTTCAGGCAGCGGCAGTCAGGAAGGTTTTTCAAGTTTCATTTCAAGGGCTACGACGTGGACGCTGAGGCATGAAGCAGGTGCAAGAAAAATTGAAGGGCTCATCAAGGAGCTCAAAGGCTTCTATGTGCAGCTTGGATGCGACACAGTTTCTTGGTACATGGGAACTCATGACACCCTCTCCTGGCTGTTCTCACTGGGACCACACTGCGGTGCGTGTAGCTCATTGTCCTGGCAGCGTCGGGCGTCTGGAATTCCCAAGTGGCTACAGGTCACACTGTCGGGGCTGAATGTGGCCTGCTTCTGCTCCATCTGCGTTGTTTGCACCAGTTCGTACAGATGCCGACCGAATGGGTTGAACTGGTTCACTAAACAACACCAGCTAAGCTCTCATCGTTTAGGCGTTTGCAGGACGTGTCTCGACGCTTTAATTTTTGTCTCCACCTTTTCTCCCACGGTTGTGGCCCAGACGCTGGCGCGCCAATGATGTGTGCACCTGGCGCCGGCCGCGGGTTCTGAACCTGTTCGCCGTACGACGCAGCAGCGCTTTCTACTACCAGTTTTATGAAAGGAGCTGCCACAGAAAATCTGGTGTCATCGGGCCACTCTGTCTGCTGACATAGTCACCACAAAAAATGCAGCAATTTTCAACAGTTCAGCAAGTGGCGTCACAATTGCAACAGTATACCAACGCAATCGATCACCACTACCAGAATGATTATGCCAAGGGTCATAGTTACTTTTATTGTTCTGTGATGCTTGTTCTTGCTGTTTGTGTTGCTGTTCCCCTTCGCTGTTGCTGTTGCTCTGTACTGTTGCTGTTTTCATTTGCCGCTGTTGCTGTAGCTTCTTTGGTTTTGCTGATCCCTGACTGGGTGCTAGCCAGCTGATATCAGGGCTGAAACACTGAAAACACACGTGAATTACACATGCATCGTAGCCATCGCGTCTACCTGACAAATCAGAATCGAAATTAAAGCAGCACTTACGCAAAACGGCTACAAGGGGTGTTGTCCGCCAACATGCAGGCCTTACAGCATTATCTTATGTAATAGATGTCACTTCGTGCAATCGTCATGTATGCGTGCTGGCATCCACCGAGTCCATTCCTTCAAATTAAAGGAGCGGATAACCCCACGTGCAAATTTTAGTGAAGCGGCAAGAGAGGGAGTGAGAGCAAGTGGGCACAAGGTATAAGCGAGAAAAAAGGTCAGCAAATGTGGCGCGTGTGTGTGTGTGTGTGTGTGTGTGTGCGTGCGTATGTTGTGTGTGTGTGTGTTGTGTGCGTTGTGTGTGTGTGTGTGTTATGTGCGTGTGTGTGTGTTGTGTGTGTGTGTTGTGTGCGTGTGTTGTGTGTTGTTGTGTTGTGTGTTGTGTCTGTTGTGTGGGTTGTGTGATTTATGTGTGTTGTGTGTTGTGTGTGTGTGTGTGTGTTGTGTGTTGTGTGTGTGTGTGTGTGTTGTGTGTGTGTGTGAAGCCCTGATCATTGCTAAGGGTTCCTGGAAGATTGTCAAGCATCTTTTTGTACAGCTGCAGGGGAGTGCGGCATGACTGTGGGACCGCACTCAACGAAGCTACCACAGTCATGGGATACCGAGTCTGTTCAACTCGGCGTACCTGCAAGCATGGCCAGTCAGTTCGAAAGCTCGAACGGCAACCAGGCCAAGCCACAAACCTGGAATGCTATCTTCGATAAGCTGGCATGCTGACTTCCCTGAGGTTCCTGACAACTACTAAGGTAACATCGTGATGATTAGGTTGTGGCAAAAGCCGATGGACCAACTGGATGAAGAGCCATTTCTCCGTGTGTCGGCCTTCGTCTCGTTGCCAGTAGGCGAGGGCTCCGTCTTGGAGCACGCCAATACTTCGCTATGCGGAACAACCCAGTGTCCGGTGAGCTTGTCTCGAAGAGCAAATGGTTGCACCTGAGCGAGGCAGTATCTCTCTCTCTCTTTAGGTACCGCCACAGGTGTGTGCAAACACAAACTTGATAGCAGTGTCGAACGGGAGTTCAGGTTCGAGTGGAAACTCCATGTTTGGCAAGAAGCTGCATTCGGCTGCAAGCCCAGGGACCACCGGAATTCTCGAATTCCGACATTCCTGGCCAATGTGATGCAAGCATACACAGGCGACGAGGAGACATTGTTCTCGCATGTTGCATGTATGGAATCCAAACAACACATGTTTTGGCTTCATTACCTCCGGGAGCCCTTCAGCACCAAGGCCGGTGACTTTGCAAGTGCATCGTTATACGTTGTTTTTCGGACATGGCACAAATACTACAGGGGTCGAAGGGATCATGAACAGTTGCTATCTCGCCCCAGCAACCATCGCAGACGGGGCAGGTGCTGCAGGACATTACAGCCAAGCCTCCGCGTGGGGAGATTCCGAGAGTTTGAAGCAAGTTCTCGACCGAGTTGTGCAGTCAGGCAAATGGCAGTGTCCTTTGATGGTTCATGGATTTGTGATGACACCCGCTGCACATCATGTTATGGAATCAGGAGGTGAGGTGGATCTGAGGCTCAGCAAGCTTGCATGATCCATGCAGCAGTGCATTTCGAACGGGACAAGAGGTGGCTTCTTCATTCGGATCTGACTATTGTCACCAGCTTCGTCATTGCAGTCAAGAAGCAGTTTCAGCC